AATATGTTATCGAAAAAATTAGAAATGTTGCCTATAAACTCAAAATGGATTGCTAACATTCTTACAGAAAGCTATCTGCGAATCCTGTACCATACCTTAGTTGAAACCCATATAATATACGGCATCACAGCCTGGGGTCCTGCCTACATATATTTCTGACCTAGATATAGCACAAAAAAAGCCATTTTCTATAAGCCAAGATTATATCCGACAAACAACTTATATCAGGAATTTCTTACATGCCACCACCTTATACCATAAGTATTGTAATAAAAAAAATCCCATAAACACGAGCATAACACACGATTTCGAATAGGCTTATCTAATATCCAAAGACCACACAAAACATATTCAAAAAATCATTTTAATTCTTAGCAGCTAAATTATATAATGTAGTACCAAACGAAATAAGAACACTTAATTTTGGAAAAAAAAACTAGACGAAAATTGAAAGAGTGGGTTTGTACTGTGCAACGAATGACTATACATAATTATATAGAAAACTAAAACTACAAAATTCCAATTAATATCTGTAAGAATTAACAATAATTGTTATACACATTATGAGTGATTGTTAGTTATTAAGATATAATCCACACACAGGCTATGCCTTCTGTGTTTTTTTCATATTTCTTAGCCATTTTTTGTATTTTGGCGAATAAATATTATCATAATTATTATTATTATTATTATTATTATTATTATTTCATCCGTTAGTCAGCTTCTCGTTTTTAGTTAATTCAGTGGCTAATTTATTTCTCAGATCCAATAACAGATTTTCATGGGTGTTGCTATTGCCTTCAACTGGGTTATTTATCTTGAATATGAATATAACTATTAGTATGGATTTGCTGACTTTTTCTGTGAGCTTTTTCGTTGATATGCCCTGAAGTCGCGTATTAATTTTTCCCACGACTTCTCGTGATGTTGCGAGTATTTGGCAACATGATTAGAAAGCAAAAGTTCGGTGCGTATACAGATTTTTCGCAATATAAAAACGGCCAAAGGATTAGCCGAATCCCAAATGTGGTCGAAGGCTAAACACACCATGCTATTGCATTTCAACCATCCCCATACGCCCAAAATCCTGTCTTCCCATAAAATCGATCGGAGGGCGCGCGAGAAACCACGCTCCGGGTGGACATTCGGCTGTCGTTCGGCAGGAATTCGACTCCGACGACGCTTGGCGCCGGGGCGTCTGCCGCTATGCCGCCCCGCCGCCCTGTACACAGTCTCGTGAGTGCAGACTCAGCAGCAGTAGCAGGAGCAGACATCAAACATGCCCAAACGATTCCTGTTTCTCAGCCTTGGAAAGGGGGCTGCCGTTATGGCTGGTTCCAATTTCGTAAGTTGGTTACTCATTTGTGTGCATCAGTAGAAGCGATCCTATAGTTGAAATACATTTTGTTTCAGTTGTCATTAAATCTTATTGATTCTTGTCTATGCGAATAGTTTTTGCCAAGTTGAGTACCGTGCAGTTTATTTTCGGGAACCTCACTGGACTTATCTAATAGTAGTCATTTATAAATAGTACTTAACGTCGCATGCCACTTTTGCCCTTTTTTCAACAGTCTGTCTAGAGGAGTATTCTTATTACTTTTCGTGTGATTGTTTCATGTTGTGAACAGAGATCAGTGAAACACAATGTTATCAGTTCCTTTTTTGTCAAAATATGCATTTTTTGTGGATTTTTCATGCATCTTTTCTTCAACCGTAACTAGTTAACAAATAATAGTGCAGCCCTAAAATTGTATGTAAACATTCCACTTTTATGGAAGAATTGAGCGAATGATTACTTTTTTCTAACGTTTCTATTCAAAAAACCTTTGCTTTTCTTGAAAACTCAGTTTTCGGCAAAGTGAAAATGAAAGTAATCTCCCTCATTTCTACTACAAAAGTCGAATTTCTCCCTACAATTTCAGAGCTGCAGTAATATTTGTTAACAAGTTACGATTGAGAAAAAAAATGAGCGAAATGCATTTTTGTAAAAATATTGAAACATTGTTTTTAGACATTTCTATGCACACCATGAAATAATCAGATAAAAACGATTTAGAATACTGCTCCAAATAGGCAGTTGGAAAAAAGGAACATGCGACCTTAATGTTACAATTATTATGAAGTACATTGGACAATTAGTAAATTAATATTTCTAATATTGAAAATGCATATATTTGGTATCATAGCTGCATGCTATTCTCCCTTTAATGTTCTGACTTTAGTGCAATTGTCACCTTTTCGAACCAAACTATACACATTTCTTAGCTTTATCGCAATATATCGTAATTCACCTTCATTGTTATTAGCGCATACGAATAGTGAAAGCTGAAAACTCAAGCAAGTTAGCTCTGGCTTTGTAATACCTTATTTCAGTTGTCAAATTGTTTTATTGAGTCTTCCTTTGTGGGATTGTAGCAAAATTGTTTTTTACGTATGTTTAAAGACGTTAAGTGTTTAGACATTTCAATTTCTGATATTTTATATATTTATCATATCCTAATGCACACTCTTAATACAGATATTGAAGTGTTTCAAGATTCATGAAACCTAAAATTGTCTCATAATTGTGGAATTAATAAATATTACAACAAATAGCGATTTGATCATTGGTCGCTTAGTTACAAGTGATTCAATGTACAAAAAGCTCAAGTTTGACAGCTCGACAGTCCGCCATTTTGGAAGATAGTGATACCATATTCTAACGTTACAGACTAATACAAATAGGTCACTTGCTGATCAGTTGTTCACATCAATGCGTGATGGATGAAATAGGGTTTAGGTACCTCTGGTATACTACTGAATCAAACAAGCATCATTGCGAAACTGAAATGTGTTCCGGCTGTAAAACGCTGCGTCTCAAATGCAGACAAAAGCTAGGCGTACCAGTTACTCTGGCATCGCATATATACGTACTTCACTACCAAGTTCTTCTGTTACGGGATCGTTTTGTTCTTGTCGTGCATGCTCAGCTTTCATAATATTTCCAATCTCACTCGACATTTTCCTTTAAGGAGGACACGGAAATTCGATTAATCGACATGACAAACATAATGTCCGTGACATTCGCGTAAATAGTACGCCTTTTAGTCGCTTTAATCATATTCATGCCATCATCCAACATTTTGTTTAATAAGATATTCCACATGTGGTACAGTAAAAAAAGCAGCAAAAACAGGCTTATATAATGCATTCTCTTTAGTAAGCCTATCAATTCACCTCTCGCTATTGGAATGGAGGTAAAGTTGCGCATTTAGGTAACAAATGTGGGGTCCACACCAAACCAACAAAACAGCAACTCAATGTTTTCAACAATAATTTAGTAACAAATCGGCAGCATTTCGTCAACAATACCTGCTTTGTTTCTGTTTCTGGCAACTTTGGCGTTCCCGTCGCGAGTCGGTAAAGAACAAAAGGTTTCTGTTTTGTTTTCATTTCAGGCAACATTGTCGCTGCGATGTGTACTTTGTTGCGAAACAAATATAAAACAGAAACTAGTATCAAAAACGTACCTAATATATTCTTTGAGGCTTTTAGTTAGAGTATTACAAGTGTCCGGTATTATTACCGATATTGCTTGTTTTGATATTTTTGACTGATTCATCAAGCTATGATAAGAATCTCTGGTCTACAAAAATCTTAAACGTTCAACTACGTTAACTGCATTTCTGAAATTTTTTTCATAAATTTTAGGACCGATCAGCTGTATTAGTTCTTCAAAGTTTTTCCTGGAAATTCTTAAAAAGTTCTCAAAACTAGAACGCATTTCTCCTAGCAATCCAATATCATCTTAATGCATCTCTTTCACGTAAGGAAAAAGCGCTTTATTTCCCCGGTCACAACTCTGGAGAAAGGCATAGCCAGCAGACATTATGATGAAATCTTTGCGCTTCTGCCATTCAGCATAAAAACGCCACATATTTTCACTCTGAAAATTTTTGATGTGAACTGCACGAAACAAAACAACTGAACATTTTTTTGTCTCTTAGCAATGTGGACGTAAGTTATAATTTTGTTTTGTTTCTAAATAGTTGATCATTTGTTTTGTTCCTTGTTTTTGTTTTGTTGCTTTGATGTGGACCAGGCATAAGAAAATGGCGTTTTTGCAATCCAGATTACTTCCGGATATTGTCGGAAAAAACGTCAACTTTCGCAAAGACTCTATTATTTTTTCTAGACTTTATTTGAGATACAATTCCAAAACAGATTGCACAATGATATTGCCACCATTTTCTTTAATTTTATTTCTCATGGACACTATAATGGATGAGGTGAATAAAAGAGAGTAAATGCCTTTACGTTATAATTTCAAAGTAAATTCTTGGTAGTAAGTGATTAATAACACTTTTACTTGTAGTTGTCAAGCCAACACTTGCTATCTCGAGTTATTACTCGTAGTAGTAAAGTAAGCATTTTGAGTGTTTACTTACGATTGGAGTGAATAACAGTAAAAGAAAAATTTACGTATTAAGTAAATACTTTTATTTTCGCAACGTTGGTTTGATGTTACCTCACCGCAAGGTTGATAATTTGAAGTGTCTAAATTATGGCAGCATTTATGAATGTTCGTAAAGTTAAACAATATCGTGATCGAAGAGGTATAAGTCCAAATAGAGCAAAACGTCTTTTAAGATTTGAAAATGAAAATATCAATTTCATTACGAACTATAACAATGAAACTGGAGGTGGTGCTCTTTCCTCCTCAAGAAAATATATGGAAATATTTCCCCGGTATATTAGTGACCCTTGCAAATGATTTCGGTATTGACAGAACAACAGTTTGTAGGACTGTAGATTATTATTATTATTATTATTATTATTATGATAATTGAGATGAGCAGAGTACACAGTACTATAAGCTCATGCAGTAAATATAGTGTACGGACACGTAACACAAATACATCAAATAGAAAAAAATAAAAAAAATACAGTTCACAGCTATAAAGTTTGTACACTCCTCCAGCTATCATACTGCACTTTGAAGCTATTAACTGAAGTAGCACCAACCACACTTTCAGGTAAGCTATTCCAGGTGTTGAGTATGCGGTTGGGAAGAAACCACTGTCGGACTGTTGTTTTAAATGGCTCCTTATGCAGTCCTTAAGCTGTGTCCGCGTAGATTGCTGCGCGACAGATGGTATAGATGCATGAGGTTGGTGCCCATCAAACCATGAAGTATCCTGAACGTAACTATAAGATCGCCACGAAGTCTTCGCTCAGAGAATGAGGTCAGGTTGAATAATTCAAGGCGATCTTCATAGCTTGGTCTTCGTGCTCCAAAAGGGATACGAGTAGCCCGACGCTGTACTGATTCGACGAGATTTCTATCGCGCAGAAGCACAGTGTCCCATACCGGGCCAGCGAATTCAAGAATTGGCCTCACGAATGCCTTGTAAATGTAGGCGCAAGTTTTGACATCGGATCCTTTGAAAGACCTCTCCAGCATATATAGAAGTTTCTTGGCTTTTGATGTAACGTGGTGAATATGCCTCTGACCAGGAAAGACGATCGTTGACTACAACGCCCAGATCAGTGTGGCTCGAAACTGCTTCGATGTTGTGGTCAGAGATCTTGTATGTAAATCGCGGATTTGTCTTCCCGAGGTGAAGGACACAACACTTGGTTAGATTTAAGGGTAAAAGCCAACTGACTGACCATTGACAAACAGTATCAAGATCTCGTTGAAGCATAGCAGAATTTACGACAGTATTGTAAATCTTGGTGTCGTCGGCATAAGCTGAACATGTGGAGGAAATCAATGCGGGCAGGTCACTGGTATACAGAAGGAACAGCACTGGCCCCAAGACAGAGCCTTGAGGAACTCCACTTGCTACATGATGAGGGTGAGACTGGCTATCACTGACGCGCACAGAGAAAGTCCTCCCGGTGAGAAAAGCCTTAATCCACAGTAACAACTCGCCTCTTATTCCCATACATTCCAACTTAAACAGAAGCCTTCTATGTGGTACGCGATCGAAAGCCCTAGAAAAATCTAAGTAGATTATATCAACAGGAGTCTTGGTGTCCAGATACTGAGTCCAATCGTTGAGAGAGTGGAGAAGGTTGGTCATTATTGATCGACCAGGGAGAAATCCATGCTGATTCTTAGGGATAAGGTCATTTTCGAAAGCAAATGACTGGAGCTTATCTAATATGATTCTTGCAGCTATTTTTGGCGGCGATAGGAACGAGACTTATTGGTCGATAATTTTTAGCGGAGGATTTGTCGCCCTTTTTGAATACAGGAGTAACAGAAGCACTAAGCCAGCATGAGGGTAGGGTATGAGATCTAAAAGACGATGTGAATATCAAGCTTAATGGTAGGGCCAGTGCTGAAGCGCAGTTTTTAAGTACAGCAGCCGTCATCCCATCTTTACCAGGGGAGGAAGAGGTCTTCAGATTTCGCAGGTGCATTAATACATCTTCAGGCAGGAACTCAACTTCGCAAAGGCTGTTGGGACACCTATGGCAGATAGTGGTCGGTAGAAGGTCTCCATTAGGCTCATCGACGAAGTCATCACTAAAGGACTCTGCCAGTAAGTTGGCAGATTCGGTGGCATCCATGTGGAGATGACCGTCAGCGTCGCGGATCTGAGGTGATGAAACTTTGGAATTCAGGTTTGTTCTTAGATACCGAAACAGCTTCTTCTTATTTTTGGAGGTAACGAGTTTTCGTTCATAAGCATGTTTGGCATTATGTAACGTTCTAGATAGGAGGTTAGAAAAGGATCGATGAGACACGTAATCTTGTGAATGGCCACTCCTCCTAAACCGTTGCCACAAAGATCTCTTGTGACGAAGCATCCTCGATATGTTAGAGTTGATCCAGGGCTTTGAGGGGTCACAGTATACCTTCTTTTCAACAGTATTGTCAGCCGTTTCGCTTAGGACTCGTTGAGCGAAAGTGTCCCACATATCTTGGGTGCTACGGTTGTTAAGCAAAGCAGGCCAGTTGACTTCAGACAGGGCTTGGTTAAGAGCATCGTGGTTTACAATTTTGTTGGTTTTAAACTTATCGGTTGTAGAACGACTATTTATATTGAACTGGAGAGAAGATAAAAGTGAACAATGGTCAGACTTGCCAAAAGGTGGCAAATAATCTAAATTAGAAACAAAGTCTGCGTCGTTAACGAATATCAAATCCAGAGCCCTAGGCATCTGTCCTTCCCTGAATCTCGTTGGACGATCAACAAGTTGAGATATGCTAGAGTTGCGTAGCAAGTCGATGTAAGCAGCAGAAGAAGAATTGCATTCAGGAATGGTTGACGTAGGCCAGCTAATGTCCACGTAGATTGAAGTCACCAGCTATGAAAAGGTTGGTGTTTTTATTTAAGAGATCTGAAATGAGACTGCACAGGTGTGTGTCTCCCAAACAGGGCCGTGGCCGATATATGCAGCCTATCGTGAAGCTGAAATTTGGGCACCTCAATTCCAAAAATAGATTGTCAATGCCATCGAAAGGACTGAAAGAGGGAGATACCGAGAAAGCTGACGCGATTTCCGTGCGAACATAAATGCATACTCCACCAAAACCAGGAGTGCGTGGTGAATCCATTCTGTATAAATAGTATCCAGGCAAATTGATGGAAGAGTCGGACACGTTGGAATGGAGCCATGTTTCAGTAAGACAAACGAACGTTGGATTATTGTCTCGAACAAATGCTTGGAGTTCAAGTAGCTTAGAAAAGAGAGATTGTATATTAGTGTAACAAACCGTCCAGTTTGCCACAGAATTTATCAGTTTTTTGAAGGTGTGATCTCCTGGGTAGCTGTGTGTACTATAGAAGGTTTACCACGAACGTATTTTATAGTAATATTACTTTCGCCTGTTGTTTGACGACGTCTAAGCTCTTCGCGAAGGTGTTGTAGTTCTTGCATTTGACCTCTGGTTTTGTCGTCAGAGATTTTTACGTGACGAAGCGTAGGGTGGCTAAGGATGGAGTTTTTCTTCCGCAAAATATTGCTGACGATAATAGGTGAGGAAAACACAACTCTAATTAAACGATTGCTTGAAGTTGTTCTGCCAAGGCGAGTGATGCTGAGTCGGTGATTTTCGGCAGATGGTTCAATATGCCTAATTATCTCTGATACTATGTTTATGTCATCGTTACCTTCAGCTATGCCCCTCAGAATGATATTGTGGGAACGTCTAAATAACTCCATTGTCTCAGCTTGGGAGCTTGGGGCAATAGGGGTAGAAGAAGCGCCGTTGCCTGAGTGCATCATCTCCATAGATCTTGCAAGTCTCGATTCAATATTAGCAATGTTAGAAGACAGCTCTATTTGAGTAACCTGGATATTTTGTATGTTAGTTTCGCAGGCCGCTATTAAGTCATCATGCCGAGAGATCGAGTCCGAATGTTGCTGTAGCAAGTTTCTACAATAAGCAACATCAGTTCTGAGTTGAGATTGAGAGTTCTTAATATCCTTTATGTCACTGGCCATAGTTGATAATTGGTTAAGTATAAGGGTGAGAGTGTCGGTAGGGGTAGACTGATCTGGTTGTAAAGGAGCAGTGGTTTCTGAACGAGCACCGCATGTGGATCCGCTTCGGGTAACTCGTCCCTGTTTACAACAGGCTGGGCAAGACCATCGTTCTTTTCCGTACGACAGTTCTTCGTTGTTATCACTGTATTTTTCTACATTATCCCCATCTTCAGGATCTTTCATGTTTTTATTCTTCTTTCGCACAGTCCTACTCATGTTCCCTTATTCCAGCGGCTATTTCCCGATTACCCTATACACTCTGTAGACTAGTTTCTTAATTTGATTTGACACAATTGACGAAATGTCCAAATGACAAAATGGAATATATGGTAAAATGGCTGAAGATTACTCCCACGGCTCTGGAAACTATCGCCAACAGGTCCACGGACGTACCTCTTCCTGCTCTTAACTTGAACACATCTGGTTTTAAATATTTTGGCTTTTCTCCGATATTTTGAGGTATTTACAGTGAATACTAATTTAGTAGCCTACTTTTTAACTTCGGTTAAAATGTAGTGTTGTACAAAAAATTATGGAGAAGGCAGGTCAATGGATAGTGTTTCCAACAACCGAACGTGATTTAAACGAGGCGAAGACAAGTTAGATTGGCCATATACAAATTAAAAAACCTGAAGGGCAGTTTGGCGATGAGTATATAAATAGCAAAAAATGTTGCTTCATTAAATGTTCAGCTGACATGTGATGCAATGGAAAGGATCACAAGTATAGACGTGCAATGGCCTGGAAGTGTGCACGATAGTAGGATTTGGAGGCAAAGTCCTGTTCAACAAAAACTTGCAAAATTCCTAGGGAATGCTTGTTTGCTGAGGGATAGCGGATATGGTAACATCATTTAGACAGCCATAAACTGAATTAGAACTTTTAAAAGAAAGAGTTGTAATAGAACGTGTACTTGTCCAAATGAAACAACGCTTTCCAATACATGCAAATAGGATTAGACTCGCAATTAGGAATGTACCGAAAATAATCATATATTGTGCTGTACTTCATAATATTGCTAGGCATTTGCAGGATGAGTGGGACTACGAAATAGAAAACAATAAAGACGATCATGTCCCAGAAATTGTTGAGCAAGAGCAAGGAGACATTAGACGACTTGGGGAAGAAAAACGCTTAGATCCAAATAATAAATCACTTTAATTGCTCATAGTGGCGGCGGTATCATGGAGGCGCCCGCACAAGCCGTAAAGAAGGTAGAAGGAAAAGGGACAATTCCGTCCCTCTTTAGAGCACAATGCTTCATTCATTTAGCGGGTGCGGAAGAACAAGTTTTGGCAGTCCAGAAATTCATGCTACAGACACCGGAGTTAAAAGAAAAGCTCTAGTGCTGATTGCTGGAGAGATTGAGGGAGTTATACTCAACAAAATAGAAAATCCTGTGATATACGACCTCACGGATAATATGGGAACGCTCAGGTTCAAGTTGCCACGATTAAATGACCTAGTCAATACTAGCCAGAATACAATGACATCAAAGATTTGAACGTGGATCGGCAGCGTCTCGCTACTTCCTTAAACAAGGAATCGCTGCAGATCTGACTAGATACCGTAAAATGGGATAAACCAGAAATATCAGCTTTTGACGTCGATGTGCAGACTGAGATGCACAAGCAAGAGGGCGAACCAAAACAAACAAAAATCACCTGAACTTAAACAAGCTCATAATATATTGACAGGGCTGGACGACACATCAAGAAGTTATGAAAAATTCATGGAGCTGAACACTGAAGCAGATTGACAAGAACCACGCTTCCAAGTGACTAAGGTAGTGACGTGGCTAATGCTTCCTTGAAGTACGCTGATACTGATAAATGTCACAGGGGAGGGACGATGAAGTGCTAGCGCATTTGCAGCTAGACACAATGAACTGGTCTAAGCTCTTAAAAATGAGGGAGAACAAATCAAATACGTCGTTAAGACAAACAGCAGCGTTGTCTCAGATGTAGATTGTGACGACCTCCATGTGCAGGTAGCTATAGCTATAGGCTATAGCTATCAAGCTTACTGAAGACAACGAGCAGGGGCACCGCTATAAAATGATAGAGCGAGCTTTAACAGTACTTCAAAGGAAGAAGGTTGATGAAACCTTGATCAGCCCGCTTGGATTCAAAAACTCTAAATTGTTGCGATGATATGCAGATACTTTGGAAGGGGTAAATGCGAACATATTAGATTTTCATGGGGGGGGCAAACTAGGACACCCTTATAAATATACTAAGTGACATATAAATCCGAACACCCAGTTTAAATGGTTTTATTTTAATAAAAGTTGGTGAATGTATTTATCTTACTGTAAATAAACAAGTGAAAAAATTTTCAGCCTTATCAGTTGGACATTCCGGTTTTTATACTGCTTTTTTTTAATTCACTAACGCTCTAAAAATGAATATTTCAGCCGCAGTAAAGAATCAACGTTGGCGGATTTTGGTTATTGACATCCTTTACGATCGGTTACGATGCCTAGAGTACGGAGACCTGTACGATTTCGTCAACTTAGTGAGTTTGATAGGGGCCGTATAGTGGGACTACGGGAAGCTGGACTTTCTTTTCGGGCAATTGCAGTTAGAATGCAAAGAAGTGTAGACACTGAGGTTAGGTGTTGTCAGGCATGGCTTCGAGAAGGCCCTACGCAAAGAGCAAGGGGCACTGGACGCCGCCGTAGAACAACAGATCGTGAAGATCGCCGCCTAAGATTATTGGCCTTAAGGGACCGTTTCTCCACTACCAGGTCCATTGCAAATGAATGGTTTGCAGAACACGGAAGACCTATTGGCATGCGAAGTGTTTACCGACGAATGAGAAGTTTTGGCTTGTTTTCATACCGGCCACACTGGGTCCTCCCTTTAACTCGAGAACAGCGACGTAATCGCCTTGAGTGGTGCAGACAACGGTCACTCTGGGATCAGGATGGAACAGTATTGTCTTTAGTGACGAGTCTCGATTTTGTTTAGGCATGCACGATGGTCGTGCCAGGGTTAGAAGGCGACGTGGTGAAAGGAGGAATCCACAGTTTTTTGTTGAAATACATGTTCATCACACTGTTGGAGTTATGGTTTGGGGTGCTATAGCTTATGGTTCCAGGTCACCTTTAATCTTCATCAGAGGTAACATGAACGCGCAGCGTTATATCCACGAAGTTCTAGAACCCCATCTTTTACCCTATCTTGACACCCTAGCAGATCCAACTTTCCAACAAGATAATGCCCGACCACATGTTGCAAGAGTCACAATAGACTTCTTTCAATATAATGATGTCACATTGTTACCATGGCCACCAAGATCTCCCGACTTATCCCCAATTGAGCACGTGTGGGATAAGATGGGTAGGAGATTGCTCAATTTGCAACGTCCTCCTCAGACTCTAGAAGCACTTCGAGAGGAGTTGGTGGTTGCCTGGAATGAGATACCACAGGAGGACATTGACCACCTGATCAGAAGCATGCCTAGGCGCGTTGGAGAATGCGTAGCACATCAGGGTGCATCCACACATTATTAAAGGTCAAAGGGCTTTAAAGCAGTGCAATCATTTTGAAATTTTTATCATTTACTTATTATGCTTCATTAAGTACTTATACAAAATTTTATTAAAATAAAACCATTTAAACTGGGTGTTCGGATTTATATGTCACTTAGTATAAAACAGATCAGGGTGAAAACTCTTACGCTAATACGCTTGGGAGATTGAGGAAAAAATAGATTTGCAAGAAATAGGCGCATCGGTGCTCAATGTGAGACAGACGAAAAAAGGTGAAATTCAGTTGAAGGTGGCAGAAAGAAAGGAAGGAGCTGCCAAACTAGGACACCCTTATAAATAAAACAGATCAGGGTGAAAACTCCTACGCTAATACGCTTAGGAGATGGGGGAAAAATAGATTTACAAGAAATAGGCGCCATCGATGCTCAATGTGAGAGAGACGAGAAAAGGTGAAATTCAGTTGAAGGTGGCAGAGAGAAAGGAAGGAGCTGCTAAAAAGCTTTTGACGAAGTCGAAGGTATCTTTACCGGAAGTGTGGCCAAGGCGCCAGAAAGGACTATTGAAATCATAGTATCTGACCTTGAAAAAACCACAGATAAGTAAGACTTCCGTCAAGCAGTCAAAGAGGCTCTGTAGCAACAACATGTTGCAAGTCGTTGAGTCAAGAGCACCTAAAAGTCGGAAGGGACTTTTGAAAAACACATCACATGTTATTATAGCTTAATTATATATTTTCTCAAATTCTTGTTAGAATGTATGGTAGTGACAGTGACGAAAATTCTATCAAACTCAACGTACCTGATTTTTAACAGCCTTTCGTCTTTCGTAGTTCTCGGTGATTGCAGATTGCATTGCAAATACATGCGTTGTCTAGATAGAAGCATTGCGAAATTTAATATACATATCATTTGTTTCAGCTGATAGCTTCAATGGCCATACTAGGTGCCACTGTAGAGCTGTATCGAACACAGTCGGATGAAAATAGGCTTTACCTGATCCTACATTAATAATGGGAATATTCAACGTTATCGTGGGAGCGATAATGGTGGCTGCACTTATAAAGGTTAGTAGTACAGGGGCATAACAACCGCCGTATCAATGTATTGGGACTCCAGCTTACAAAGGCCTTCACATGTGCAAGAAATATACCTACAGTATTATTCACAATCTCATGTAGGTCTTAGGCCGCTTGCCAAATTATAAATTATCAAGCGCTAAATTTTTAGATTGTATGACTAGGTGATAATATTATCTTTCCTATTTTTGACACTCCAGATCACAACTGCCACAGCCAAATGACGCTTTTCAAAATAAAAGTTATTATCTTAGGACGTCTATGAGACAACTATGACTATTAAATTTGGTACTGCATCAGAGGTAAAAAATCTCGAACCACTAAAATCCTTTTCAGATAACTTTTTCTGAAATTGTACCTGCCCCCATAGAGCGGGCCGTAGCTTCTCAAAACCTAAAATTCTTCAAAATTGTACAAAAAATCATCCGGAGGTTACAGTGGTAGGAATTCGCGGATACTGTTATAAATTATGAAGACTCAAGTTAGCACGCACTTAAAAATAAAAAGAAGTCTATTCCCACGAAACCTAAGCACAGAACTGAGCACCTGCCTTTCCCGAGCGATTCTTTTGAATGTTAGCACTAATGACAAAAAATAATGAAGCAACTGCTGAGCCCTGCCAGGTCACCGTTCCGTATCAAAAATGCTATGATTCATCTATGAAAGAACCGTTCTTCGAGGGTCCGCGAACTCACAGTCTTTCATCACAATAGTACCTTGTCAATAATCGAATGTTATTTTAGAAATCATATTGTAGCTACCTTATAGACTACATAATTTAGTAATTTTTTTTCAGGGAAAAGAACGTTTGGTGTTTCTGTACATGGTTCTAGAATAACAAATCTGATGATAATAACGATATTTGCACTGATAAACACATTTCGCCAAGGTTATTACCATCTGTCAATTGTTCTGTTTATATGCTGTAAGTATAACTTTTATACTCTTCTGGAAAGATAAATTTATGATTTTGAGAAATCTTACCTAAAATTATTTTTTTGCAATAATTTCTGTTACTGTTTTGTTTTCCCGACAACTTATCCGACAAATTTTAGCCACATATATGCACTGTTACGAAATAAGTTAATTTCCCAAAAAAAATGTATAAAAGTCCTACAGAATCGATATTAAATAATACAGTTTAACAGTTCACTTACTTATAAAAGCTGTTCAAAATTGTTACCATTGACTGCCAATGCAAGCTTGGTGTGCGTCTTATCCAATTTCGGTGCACTAATTCAAATATCTCCTTCATGCTGAGCCTGAAGGCTCAAATTATTGGCAGTTACTGTGATTTGGTTACGCAATTCTTCAACATTCTGAACTGGAGTACGGTTGTACCTCATTTTTCAACTATCCCATGAAAGAAGTCCAGAGGAGACGAGGAGACCGTGGAGGCCATGCAATTGGTCCACCCCTTCCGATCCAGTGTATCTGGTATACGTGATTAAAAAAATCACGAACTTCTAAAAAAAATTTGGAGGTGCCCCATCGTGCAGAAACCACATCCGTGCTCGGCCCGCCAATTGCACCCCTTCAATAAGGACCGGAAAATCATTCCGAAGAAATTCCAAATACTGGTGACCATCCCTCCGATCTGGCAATATGAACGGTCCAATTAGACGTTCATCGGACAATACCTTTAAAGAAAAGCGATGTTGGAAGTGTATCTGGACCACTGCGTGAGGATTCAAAAAGGACCAAACGTGTGTATAAGATTGGTTATCCCATTACTAGTAAAAATAGCTTCATCGGTGGCCAAAATATCAGCTGTAAAACGAGCATTTTGAGCATTTTTCTTGCAACAACCACTAACAAAATCTACTCTTAGGGGCTAGTCTGTAGGTAGCAACGCCCTGGACTCTCTGGACGTGATAGGGTAGAGTTGGGCCTCATGTAATATGCGCCACGCTGTTGCATGTGGCCCTTCTGGGACCTGTTGGGCTAACTGCCTTGTGCTTATTACCGAATTTTCTTCAGCAATATCAAAAATTTCGTCTTCGGCATTTAAAAACGTGTTGTGGGTGAATCCGACCCCCATCCACTCCACGCCTGGGGCGCAAATCTCCACTAGCACGAGCAAGTAAAACAATTGAACTAAATGTTTCGTAATGTGGTATGTGCCTATACGGAAATCGGTGTGCATAAAAACGAGAAGCCGCTCGCGAATTTCGGGCCTGCTTCTCTGTACGCTAAAACAATGTCCACTAACTCTTCATTAGTGTGTAGGTACACACGTGCCATTTTTATTAAGAAATAACTAAGAATATAAACTTGCAAAATGATTTCTTATTTAACTTCACAAAAATCGAACGTCTTCATTCAGATCACCCACGATACAGATTCAACCTTATTTACACGTTCTTATCAGTATGAAAAAACAAAAAAAATCCAGGTATTTTGTTTTCGTCAGTTGTTTGGTACAACATTTGCTACAATAAATTACACTGATGAACACAGGATTTGTGACATGACAATTTTTGGGTGTATCTTATGTATTTTGAGACCTTTAAATCAAATCTAAATGCAGAATTTTTCTATCACCCACAGATATTCGGTAACATTTACTTTTATGAATTACAATACCTAAACATCTCATATTGCTGCATTTCTCGACATTTATGCGATGACGCACATATATAATGTTAAGATCTGTCATTCCTGTTCATTATGTGCGAGCTCTATCTTGAGAGAGCATATTGCGCTTATTAGTAGACTAATAGCAGCCGAGTCAGTTACGTTTTCTGTGTTTGAGAGTACTGAGATGTTCTAATTTTGTTAAAACGGAGTGATGTTTTTAGTTTATTGTGTAAATAGTGCGAACAGTTTTTGTTATATGTGCGGAGAGCTAACTTTTAAATCCCAAAAACGTACTTTTTACTCCCCTTGGGTTGAAAGCATGCGAACTATATTTTGGAATTAAGTTGGCGACCAAGATGAACTATGGGCCCCTCATATTTGTTGTAAGACTAGTGTAACGTTGTTAACAGGTTGGTTAAGAGGCAACAATCGTAAAATGCCCTTTTCGGTACCAATGGTTTGGAGAGAACCGAGAGACCATACTACTGATTGCTATTTTTGCCTCACAAATATTAAAGGTATTGGACCAAAATCGAAACATACTGTTAAGTATTTTAATTCACCATTAGCTTTGCGGCCCGTTAAGCATAGTGATTAACTTTCTGTCCCAGTTCCACCAGAATCTTGGTCTTTGGATGAAAAAGTCGAATCCACCGATTCTAAAAGTGATGGTACAGAAAGCGTAAAAATTGCCGATCCTTCGTTTGCCCTTGCAGGATGTTCAACAGCGCCGCATTTGATCACACAGGGCGAACTTAATGACTTAGATCGAGAATTAAATCTGTCAAAATCCCAGTCAGAACTTTAGCGTCAAGATTAAGGAGGGAGTCTTCTCCACGGTGATGTTAACATTACTTTTTAGCGAAAACGGCAACAAGACCTCACACACTGTTTACGTCAAGAAAGGGAGTTGATATATTGCTCGATGTCAACAGTTTGACGCGTTACGACAGAAACATGATCCAAATGGTTAGCGCCTGCTCATTGATTCCTCTAAGCGGTATTGGTACACATCGGTAATAAATATCCATCTGTAGGCATCATATGAAAATATGCGAGTTCTGTTAGAGCATATCCGTTATGATGAATATGGATGGGCCATATGTGCAGATTTGAAGGAAATAGACCTTCTCTTGGTGTGCAACTGGGATATACCGAATATTGCTGTTTCTTTGTGAATGAGACAGTCGTGAGCGAGATCGTCACTACGAACAGAAGGAGTGGCCACTACTTCAGTTATTAACTTTGGGCCTAAAAAACATTGCTCATGAACCACTAGTTGATCCCAAAAACGTGTTGCTTTCACCTTTGCATATTAAGTAGGACTGATGAAAAATTTTGTGAAAGCTATGGCCCGAAATGGAAGAGGGTTTCTGCATTTAAAACAAACATTTCCGAGTACTTAGTGAGGCAAAAATTAAAAAGGGCATATTTGTGGGCCCACAAATACGGAAAATCATGAAGGATGATGTATTTGGCAGTGCTATAAATGAAACTGAATTACGAGCTTGGAATGAATGCTTTTAAATCAGTTACTGCAAATTTGTTAGGCAATGTGAAGGCGGACAATTATAAAGATATTATGAGTGAACTAATTAATGCTTATAAAGGAATGGGATGTAGCATGACTCTAAAAATTCACTTTTTGGATTCTCATCTCGATTTTTTTCCGGAAGGTTGCGGTAAGTGATGAACACGGTGAACGGGTCCACCAAGACATTTCTGCTGTGGAAAAACGTATCAAGGCAAATGGAGTGTCAATTTGCTTGCTGATCATTGCTGGACATTGTTAAGAGATACTTCAGGAGCAACATATCGCCGTAAAACATCGACAACAACATTCTGAGATTAATGTTTATTCGTGTGTTTATTAGTACTCTTACACACATATCCTTATATTTTACGAGTATAAGCAGCAAATAAAATGCCTTATTGCAAGAAAACCGTGGGTGATAGAAAAAGTCGAATGCTATTTCGGCTTTTAGGGTACGTTTTACATAATAACCACCTTGTTTTGTCCATGTCACAAAAAATTATTTTAACTTTGTTCACCAATGATATTATTACGTGTTCTAATATCACGACAATGAACGCAAAATACAGATATTTATTTTTCAATTTACTATTGAAACTCAGCTTTATAACTTAATTTCTGTAGGACCTTTATTACATTCTTTTTGAGAAATGAACTTCCTTCGTAACAGTGCATATGTGGTTTAAAATTTGTCGGATAAGTTGTGAAACACCCTGTATAATTCGTCTCAGAGCCAACCTTATCAGCTGCATGATGTTTAAGTAAGAAACACTTTCTGTCTGTAATTTAGAATAAGCGAATTGGAGTTTTTATTGGAATCATATTTCTATTAGACTTGTCCATATCTTTACGTGAGGCCAGAAGGACCAGCATGTTCCCCATGTAAAAAAATGTCCACCATGTAAAAGCCATTTAATATCTAAGTCAACTTTTTCTAGTTTGTGAATAAAAATGTGTAAACAATAGTAGGCTAATCTTTTCCTAGATAAAACTGATCATACTTCTGGAAGATGTGAAGATTTACTGTTCATAAAGCATAAATAACAGTTGTATTTGCGGTCGACATAACGATTAGAATAACATATTTCGCCTTGCTTTACATTAACTGTATTTAACTGCTGGTCATACACTCATCATAGATATATTTAATATTTAAGTTATTAACCCAAATAGTAAAAAACAACTTTCTTATCTGCAATTCAAAATAAACGGCAACAAGCATAATTTTGATCAATTCGGAACGATGTTTCATTACTCCAACTTTGAGTCAATCTATAGTGCGAAACCAGTTGCCAATCAGCCGCAATGCTTTCCATCATCAGCAACCACATTTTACTCCATAATCTGCTTTTTGTTCACGTCAGTATATACAGTGGCTGAGGTTTTAGACGCAATTGAAGATATTACCACCAATTTTTTCTTCTTTCTTTCATAACTTTTTGTATGAAGTCAAAAAGTTTTTAATCAATTTGTACAGAAATCTTCAAAGCTGAGTTCACATTTTTTCATATGGTCATTGCTTCCGAAAACAAAAACTTTTGACTTAATTTAAGAACTCGCTGTATAATAATTTCACGCTCTACCCCTTTGAAATACAGTGTCGGGAGCAATAACAATATCCCTCACTCTCTCATTTTGGGCGAGTATTCTTCTTTTGGAGCAGAATGAATGTAACACAAAAGTCACAGATTTTAATCCGTTACATTATCATTACATGCCTAAAAGTCGGGTCGATATTGCTCCCAGTTAATGATTCCTTCATTGCATGTGTAGGAGCATGATTTAGGCATATTTGCACATATTATGTGGAGAGGTTCATTTTCAAATTGCATACTGGAGGTGATGTGGTTATCCATCATACATATTTAGATAAACGCAACCAGAAGAGGATAAAAGGCTATACCGCTGTCCTATCACCTTCTGGAGGTTTGCATCCCCTCGTGGCAACACGAGTGTTCGCCGAGGTTGGACACCGATACTGTTTCTACTCGTATCGAAACATCTCCTTTTTATTGCTCTAAAACATAATCGAATATCTTTTCGTATTGGCGATTTGTTGATCCTTTTTGGGGACCACCTGAAAGAAGACAATTATGGAGATATTTTTTTATTGAAGTCCTATCATAAAAATCCCCAGTATTAGGTATAATACCTCCTAACTATTATTACTATATTGTTGCAGTTTTTCTTTGGTATGGACTTTGGTGTACCTGGTCATTCTACGCTGAACGGCTGAATACAATTCTGTAAAATCAGGACCGACTGAATAGTTTACCAGCAAAATATCAATCCAGTTGCTTTTCCGGACCGTGCCATGGAAAGCACCCACGTTTAGTGATCTCATTACAATAATATTATATTTTGTATAAAATTTATGTATATAATCTACATAGATATATTGTTTCGGTTAAATATATTACTGTTGTTGTGTGTAATCAATTTTTCTTTTCTGCTTGGAAAATGGCGAAAGTGATTTTCCTAATACCTAAACTATCATACTTATCTTTGTAATATAGTTTACTGACATTTATGATACCGGTTCTCTGTTTTGGCATGGGAATTGTTATCACTCTTCTTATAACAATGAGATGGAATGGTATTTTAGATAGTTATTTTTAAGAAAAATCGAATAATTCAATTAGATGAGGCAGAAACCTCGCATTTGTGGAGGGAAGATTTCAACTTGTGTGCTGGGGAAAAAAAGACTAGCAGGGACTTCCTCTCTGGTGAGAGACCTGGTGGTCATCACAGCTTGGGGCGCAATTCTAGTACAGTTTAATGCTCCTAAAACACAATGCTGTACTTAGACTAATACGAGGGGCCCTAGCGCTCATCCGGTTTCGATGGATGACCGAGTTGTACTAAAGAGCCGTTCCTCTCGACTGGTCGGAACCCAGATGACCGCGGATTTGATCTGGCAGGAACACATCTCGTCAATAGAGGCAGCTGCTGGGAAAAAGCTAGGCTATTAGTTAAGTGAAATACTTTTCTAAACATAAGCTATCACTCCGTATAAGATCCAGATAAGACCTAGCCTCGAGTACTGCTACATATTTGGGGTGCTGCCGCTCCGACTATATCATTCGCGCTCGATGTTGTTCAGAGGATGGTTGTCCGGTTGATCCCTGACTCCTCTGTCGTGACCCTTTTGCACCGACTGGCTGTCGGCAATCTAGCTCTCTATGTCAACAGGTTTTTGCTGCTCAGAGCTCTCCATGATGCCGCTAGGTGATGTGCCTGCTATACAGATCCGTCTGACTTCGGCCTCCCATATTAAGCGTGTTGAACTTCGTACATCCAGAACCGGCCGGTACGACCGCTCTTTTGTCCTGGGGTATCTAGGTTCCAGAACAATTTTCCTGGGG